AAAAAAAACACTCAGGGAAGGCCTTAGTGATCAAGTTGCCTAAACTGTAAAACTGGTTTGAAAGAATTCATAGGGAGATCCCCTCTAAATCATGCAAGTATCCAAAGTATTCTTTTGTGTAGAATATGTTTAAAAATATCCCTAATTGCACCCCTCACACAGAGAGGATTTTGTTCAGAATCACCTTCCCCCATCCATCAATCACAAGAGATGTCATTCCTCTATAAATACCCATAAGGTTTTTAGAATCCTCACCCTATCCAAATCCAAAAGGCCCTCCAAGAGTGGGTTGGAAATTTCTTGGAGCCACAAACAGAGGACAGGTTTTCGATTCAACTTCAGTCTGTAACAATTTAACTCCCCTGATACAGATCCCAGGTTTACTTATGGCCAGTGATGTTCCTGAGAAATAATGAGGCAAATTTATAAATAAGCGGCACACCAAGAATAATCCTCCTTGTGATTTATTGAATACCTTTGGTCTCAACGAGCCCAATGTTTTCCACTTGACCATGGGGTTTAGTTATCAATAATTTGATTACAACATCAAAGCCCCTATGTAAAGTTCAAATTATTAATTATTAGAAAAAGCATATGAATTTGAATGTCATTAATAATAACAACAGTCAAGGATCGAGATAGTTCTTCTCTCTTTAGCTGGACAATAACCTAGACAGAGAGAGAAAGCTGAAATAATTTTTCTTTAAATTGAATCACGGTCTTTACACATGATGTGAGAACCACCTCGTGCTCGAGGTAGTTTCAACCTAAGGAGGCTCCACGCGGTTTAGGAAACCAACGCATTCTCCTTTCGGTTTAACATTCCTCCGGAAAAAGGTTTTCGAAACTGAAACTTGCTGAGAGAGCACTTTCAATCTCCGAATTTCCCCTCGCGGGGGGAAGCCCAAAGACACCCTCAAGACTCCTGGCCAATCAAGGTCAGAGTTTTTATCTAGGGGATTCCCAAAATAAATCATGTCGGGAGTCAAATCGATCTGCCTTCCCCAGTTTAACGCATTTCTTTGTGACCATCTTTACGAGTACGTAAATTCTGCGTTTAGGAGGAAATATTATATACACCATGGCTGAAAATCGTCTTCCTCGAGGAGATGACTTAGCTCAGCAAGAAAATAACGGCTTTGGACCACTTTTCAAGCGTCGTGGGAAAACTGCTACTGTCACTTCAGCTATTATGGTTGTGATAAGTGGCGCGACGCTATTCTTCGCGGTGAAAGATAAAGAGAAGGAGTTTCATTTCCTGGTGTTTACAGCTGCCCTGCTTACCCTCAGTTTTGTTTTCGGTGAATTATTTCGAAGGTTGCCCCTGTTGTCTGAGGAGTTCAAACACAAACGCACGAGATATCAAGGAAAGTTGAAGGGTATTTTTAAGACCACTTTCACCTTCGATTATGGCAAGTGTATTTTAGTCGCTGCTATTGCTTCCGCTCTCATATTATGTTATCAGTTGTATGAACAATACGAAGTTTTCTCTCGCCCAGAATTCGCCATTTTCTTTTTTCTGAACTGTTTCGTGGCTCCGCAGTTGTTGTACCTTGTGGGTCTCCGACAGCTCTCTCCTGTGGAAACATCGGATTTAAACGAAAAAGAAAACAAGAATGTGGCTGATGGGCTGGCTTGGAGCTACTACTTTGGTTATCTGAAGCTGGTACTGCCAAAACTGAAAGATCAGATTGGCAGATCGGAGCTTTTTCGTTATGAAATAACAAGGAAAAAGCTATTCATTTTACTGCCCAAAACGTGCTTCACTTGTGCTGACATCAAAGACGCAGACCCAAGGGTAAAATGGGTCGGTAATCTCCCAGAGCTTAAAATTAGTAGGGGTGGAATTAAGGAAAGAATTTACAAGCATTCGGTACATAAGATAGAAATGCCCCGCCCTGATGGAACAGTAGAAAGGTACCACTTTATCTTGGAGTATGCCACACCTCTGATGTCCCTTTATGATATGTCTGAGCATGCAGACGCCTCCTTTAATCGTGAGGAGCGGGATCATCAGGTAGGCAAGTTTCTAGTATTTTCTCTTTGATTTTCAAAGTGGAAGAGAATCCTGATCTAATTACCACAAGCAATATTGTGGCTGATCCCTGGGTAATTGGGTCAATTTCTGCTGTGTATATGCCACTGGCCTCTTAGAACCCACCCTCCCTCAACCCATTATAATCTATTCTGTGGTCATTTGTAGATCCCATCTAAGGTGCTTTTAAGTGAATGTTTCTTTCACTATCCCAACTTAGTCACTTTCTGTTTTATGTATCTGCCTTAGAAAGCCTTTTAAGTAGCTCATCTTAAAATGAATTGACTCATTTAACCATGAATCTTCCCAATTGGGCATACATTGTCTCACCCCAAAATCTGGAAGAGTGCAACCCCATTGTTGGAACTGCATTGAAATTGCAAACCCATTATTAAATAGTAAATCTAGCAGTGGAAATGCAAGCCATCCAGTAGCACATCCCCATTAGCCTTTTATTAGGAAGTACCCCCCTCCCCCCCTTAGGACTGGTCCTCATAAATATGATTTGTTTGAGGTGGGATGCACATCTAACTGGAACTTCTCTTCATTTTTACTTATAGGTGGTGTTATTCATCCAAAAATTGAGGGAAATTCTGGAGAACTCCGAAGAGTGCAGAGGGACTTATGAATTAGTGCCAATTTCAGGAAATGATCCAAATGAGATCTCAAATGTCCTGATTGGGATGCATAACGCTGCCAACATTGAGATGCACAATCCAGAAGCTAATGGAGTGCACAGACCAGAACAAGAACAGCTCTAAACAAAATAATGCTAACTCGGTGTAGCAAGAAACTCAGTCTGTAATGTTGTACACATAAGTTCCTGATATTTTACAGGACCTGCAATATAGTAAATGAAATATTTCTTTTCTGATGCATGTAGGAATGAGGAGCCTTTGAAGGGGCAAAGATGTTGATTACAAATCTTTATCTAAATCTTGTGGCTTATACTTTTATTTCACCCATAATAGATACCACTTGATGTTGGTTAAGGAGACTAACATTGTTTTTTAGAGAGGTTAGTAAAGGGACAGTCCTCATCTTGCAGATTTATGTTGATTGTGTTCTGAAAACATTCAAAGGCACAGCCTTTAATTTGTGTAAGTGGAGAAGGCTATAGCCTAATTTATTTTGCCCTTCCTTATAGCCAAGCAGATTACATAATTTGTAGTGAGCCCTCAGTGGGATAGTAACGTAAACATGAACAGAGATTTATAAAACAGGCTGAATAGTTTAGTTTTTCTCAGTTTTCATTTTTCTTTGCTTTGCTCAGTGAAATACTTAAATTGATGATTGTTGTGCTCTTATTCTGTAAACATATTAATTATCCCTTTACACCTCTATATCAGTATGCATATTCTTCCTACTATTCTCAGTTGCAAATTTCCTTACAAGGAGAATTTGTGTTTCAATCACAGCTTTTTAGTTTGGCATTTATTTTCTTTATTTCCACAGTCTTTATAATAAATATTTCAGCAATATTACTTTAAGGAGAAATTTGATACTTGTCACTCTAAGGATTAAAAGGGTTAAAAATAAAACATGACACAAAGCAGCTGTGTGTTAAATCTGACTGTGCTAGAATACCAGTACTTATAAGTTTGAGAGAAATTATAACCAACACCTTTGGTGCTTCTTTGAAGGAGAGTCTCCCCTTTCAAGCTTTGCTACAGGTTTAAGAGTTTTTTTTTGTTTGTTTCAAGCCAAAAGCTCCCTCAATTGTAGAATAAGCTACCAATAAGATTTTACTACAGAAAAATCTTAGTTATAAATCAGTAACTGCTAAGTAAAAAAAATACTCAGTGAAGTCCTCAGTTATCAAGTAGCCTTAATTGTAAAACTGGTTTGAAAGACTTCAGAAGGAGATCCCCTCTAAATCTTGCAATTACCCAAAGTACTTTTTTGTGTAGAATATGTTCAATCATCCTTATTTTCACCCCTCACACAGAAAAGATTTTGTTTGGAATCGCCCTTCCCCAGTCCCCCAGAAGAGATATAATTCCTCTATATATAAGCTTAAGCTTTAAGAATGCTCAGTGACCCTATCCCATCCCAAGTGGTCCTCCAAGGATGGGTGAGGAAATGTCCTAGAGCCACAAACAGTGGACAGGTTTTCAGTTCAACTTCATTCTGTGCTAATTCAACTCTCCTCATGCAGATCCCAGGTCTACTTAAGGCCAGTGATGTTCCACTGTGTAGGCTCAACAGGGAAGGAATACTGGAGCAAATTTAGAAACAAGCTGCACACCAAGAATGTCAAGATCCCTGCCCACTAAGAGTGATAAATTTCACTGTGCGCTTTCAGTCTTTGCATGCCTCTGTATGCTTCAGTATCTCTCTATGAAGGTGCTCCCTTCTCCTGGAAAGAAGGTTGACCAGGCAAACAAACCAATTGCCTACTTTGCAAGCATTGTTATGGCATCTACTTCCTCTGTGTTATTAATTGAATACCCTTGGTTTCAATAAGCCTGATGTTTTTCACTTAACCTTAGGGTTTAATTATCAATAATTTGATTACAACATCACAGCTTTTTAGGTTGGCAATCATTTCCTTTCATGGTTTTTATAATAAATATTTCAGTAGTACTGCTTTAAGGAGAAATTAGATTCTTGTCACTCTTAAGATTGAAAGGGTTAAAAATAAAACTTACCACAAAGCACCTGTGCGTCAGCTCTGACTGTACTAGAACACCATTACTTGTAAGTTTGGGAAAAATTATAACCAACAACTTTGTTTTGGTTGAAGGAGGTTCCCTCCCTCCTTCAAGCTTTCCTACAGGTTTAAGTGTTTTTTGTTTCAAGCCAGAAGTTCTCTTATTTGTAGAATAAGCTGCCAAGATTTTACTATGGACAAGTCTTAGTTACAAATCAATCACTGCTAAGAGAAAAAAAAAACACTCAGGGAAGGCCTTAGTGCTCCTTAATTGTAAAACTAGTTTGAAAGAATTCTTAGGGAGATTCCCTCTTCATCTTGCAAATACCCATTTGTGTGTGTGTGTGTGTGTAGAATATGTTCAAATACCCTTATTTGCACCTCTCACACAGAGAAGATTATGTTAAGAATTCACTTCCCCATCCCTCAGAGAAGGTATAATTCCTCTACAAGTACAATTGAGCTTTTAGAATGCTCACCTTATCCCATTCCAAGTGGCCCTCCAAGGGTGGGTGAGGAAATTTCCAAGAGCCATAGACAGTGAACAGGTTTTCAGTTCAACTTCATTCTGTGGCAATTCGATGCTCCTCGGTGAACCAAACCTGAATAAAGCCTGAATATGGCAGAGCTATCTCCAGCAAGCTAATGTTAACTGTTCTCCATATTAGTGGTGGTATTGGAATTCAAGCGAGCTGAGAATAGCATTGTTAAGCCTGATGGTGCAGTAATTTTTCTTTAAATTTAATCACGGTCATCACACACTATGTGAGAACCACTTCGTGCGCGGGGTGGTTTCAACCTGTGGGGGCTCCACACAGTGTGGGAAACGAACGCGTTTCCTTTCGGTTTTTCCTACTTCTGGGAAAGGTTTTTCGAAACTGAAAGTTGCTGAGAGAGCACTTTCAATCTCTGAACAAATAATTCCATCACGCCCTGTTTTGGGCCTTTTCCCTGGTGGACACCCTCAAAGTGCCTGGGACACGAACTTTTTTTCCTTTTTTGCCTAAATATTTAGCTTATCATATGAACAAACCAATTCCAATAGAAGAAAAACTTTAAAAAAATTAAAACTCGGCTTCTACTGGCCCTAAAGTGCTCCTATTTTGTCTTCAAAGTGTCCCGTGGACTGGTAACGAATTAGCGGGTGATGA